AATACCTCTCTCAAAGCAGGTGCACGCACCTTGATGGTTTTTTCAAACTCATTTCGGACGCAATGAGTTTCAAACATTTTAATATTATATATACGATAATATATATTTTGATTCCCCCCCCTATATATTTTAATTTTGTTCTACCACTGTTATGTCACGAGAGGCAGTGCCAACTCGGAACTGGCAGCAGAGCCATTTCCCTCTGTATAAGAATGGACCCTGCATATGACATGCCAGATCCGCAGCATTTTTGAAATCCTTTCATTAGGCTCCTTTTCACGCGAGATAAAATAAAAATAAACCCTTTTTATATTGCCTGCCAAGAGTTTGTTGAATCACAAGCTGAATTGTTAAGCTTTCAAAGCTGGGGCAAGTCTATTTAATATGAAATGTATGAGTACAATCTATAATGGAGGTTTTGGACTGTCATTTGTGGTCGGTCTGAGACTGTCAACGAACTCGTTACACTTGAGAAGTATTGAACCACTGGGGCTGAAACCTGAATTCGGACACCAGGCAATCAGCGGTGGCGCCTTCAGTGCTCTAACGCGGCCTTTATGACTCAGGCGAACAAGCGTGCGCCCGCCCACCTGAACCTGAAAACACCGTCACCTGGGGTTGCCAACCTTCCGATCTCCCCGTGACTTTTGAAAGCAATCGGGGAGACGAAAAAAATTGGGTATTTAAAGAAAATTAATTAACATAATGAATGAACATGATTCATACGGAAGTAAATTCATTGTTCGAACATGACGGTGGCATCTGATTGCGTTTGATAGCGTAATGACATAAACACAATGGATTCAGTCATCTCGTAAAAAAATATATCCCGGAATAGCTTCAGAGTTGGCAACCCTGCCGTCACCTGAAACCCATTCAGTAATAAAACGACTGCGGCACGCTTTAAACACAGAGTCGCTGAGTTGTTCGTGTTTTACTAGAACACTGAATTCTACAGATTATAACAGAATGCGATTTCACCCCGTACAATGGAACCCCTCTGTCCAGCCAGCAATTGTTTAAGTGTGGGTTACTCCCCAGTGATCCTCACGTCTACAAAGTCAATATACGCTCTCGACGAGCTCTCGAGAGGACAATGTAGGGGAGGCTATACATTATATCCTTACGTTCAGGAGCGAAATGCCAGTGTCCTTTCGCCAGCGTAATTGCGGGACTTCGCATCTCTCTCTAAGGGTGGTGGTTCGATCCCGCCTGTATATTTGGAGTTTGCCTTTCCTCTCGCCCCGTGGTCGCGCGGATTTTTTTCTCAGGGTCCTCCGGTTTTTCCCTCCGCATTTAGAAACATGCATTTAGATTATTTAGATTATTTTGCTGATATCCATTTCCACAAGATAAGCCCCTTTCTTGAGTTATAATTTGTGACCAGGTCTCTTCTGAAAAACAAGCGAATAGCTCAGTGTGCATGTTCACTAGCTCACTCTTTGTTTAAAAAATGTTGCTTTGAAGGTCTGGCTCTCAGAATAACTCTTCCAAATAATCAACAGATATTGGTAGTGTGCTGCTATCGACCGTCTCGTGGGAAGGATGTTGAAGCTGCATCTGCACTGAGAGAGCTTTTTGGGGGTCTCCCTAAAGGTGAAATAGTTTTAGTGGGTGATCTAAATTGGAATTGGCTAAACCTGCCGGCCGTGGCCACAAATTTTGCAGATGAATTTAATCTGTTTCAATTAATAAATGTCCCCACAGGACCCAACCTAAAAAATCCGGGACAGTCATCTCTGCTTGACGTCCTATTGACAAATGCCCCTCACAATTTCACACTGACTGGTGTTCTGGGTAATAACCTTAGTGATCACTCCTTCATTTTTGGGGTGAGATCATCATCCAGACCCAAAGCCCCCCCTAAATTGGTTGAGAAGCACTCTATGAGACACTTAAACACTCAGGCATTTACTAATGATGTGCTTCACTCGGATATTGACAAGGTCTGTGATATCCACAACCTGATTACGGCTTGGGAGACCTTCAGGTACACGTTTCTCCAAATTCTTAACAAACATGCTCCGTTGGTTAGATTTAAAACTAAAGGCAACCGCCCACCATGGTTTGATCCTTTGATTGCAAGGCTCATGAAAACTAGGGACAAGGCTTGGGCATGTGCTCAGAAAAGTAATTTGGTCAATGACTGGCTAGAATGCAGGATTTTAAGGAATAGATGCGTCAAAAAAATACGGCATGCAAAAAATGCCGACCTTTCCTCCACTCTCCTGGAATCACATGGAAATGCCAGGATTTTCTGGAAAACAATCAAATGTATCGAAAAGGCATCCAAAACAGACAATCTGCCCGTTGAGCTTAACCGAAATGGGGAATATTTTTCAGATCCCAAAAAAATAGTTGACAATTTTAACCTTCATTTTTCTGAAGCTGGTAATCTTTTTGATAATGTATTGGGAGTCACCCCTGCTCATGCAAATTCCTAAACCCCTGTCCAAACATTAATCGAATTTAGTTTCCAGCCAATCCACGAAAGTAATGTTCTGAAACAACTGTCCTACCTCTACCAGAGCAGATAGTATTCCCGTCTTTGCTCTACTAACTGTTGGTCACCTAATATACAAACCTATAGTCCATATTTTCAACCTGTCCATCAAAGAAGCATCAGTTCCTCTAGAATGGAAACATTCCTATGTCCGTCCACTTCACAAAGGGGGTCCTAAAGATGATCCAAATAACTACCGACCTATCTCAATTTTGTCCCCGTTGATGAAGATTTTTGAAACATTATTGACCTACAAAATTAGCAGTTTCCTGTCCACCAACAATCTACTACATCTAAAACAATCTGGGTTACGAAAAAAATACAGCACCACATCTGCTGCATTAGACTCTCTGAATCACATTTACAGTAGCCTTGATAATAAGCAGTACTGTGCCTGTCTTTTTCTAGACCTGTCCAAAGCTTTTGATACAGTAGACCACAACACCCTGCTTAGTAAACTGAGTTGCCTCGGTTTTTCCCAAAACGCAGTAAAATTGTTACAAAATTACCTCTTTTCTCGCACCCAAACTGTATTCACAGATGGTTGGAGGTCAAACAGTGTTAAGATAACAAAAGGGGTTCCACAGGGTTCCATCCTCGGCCCCCTTTTGTTCTCTCTTTATGTCAATGACTTGGGCACTGACCTGGATCATTCCAGGGTAAATCTTTTGCAGATGACACGATACTGATTACTGCTGGCCGCTCTCAGGATGACGTGATTGCTAAGCTACAAGGTGATTAAAAAAACTACAACATCAGCTAGTTGCTCTTAAACTAGTCCTGAATACCTCCAAAACCAAGGTGCTATGCTTCTCACCAGGACTAAAGCAGGAAGTTATTTTTCCCCAATTACATTCCTTAAATAATTATCAAATAGAGCAAGTAAAGATCTATAAGTATCTTGGGGTCATCCTGGATTCAACATTTAATTTTGAAGATCACATTGATTATATTGGTAAGAAGACAAAAATAAAAATTGGTTTTCTGTATCGACACAAGCACTGCTTCCCCCCAATGTTCTGTTTGGAATTGATAAAAGCTACCATACTGCCTCTACTTGACTACTGCGAAATCGTGTATTAATCAGCCCCAAGTACTGTACTGAAGAAGCTTGATTCCATCTATCAATCGGCCTTAAGATTTAGATTGAACTGCCCATATAGGACTCACCACTGTGATCTCTACATTGGGTCAAACATCTCTTAATGTTCGACGGCTTGTGCACCAGATCTTATTTATTCACGATGTACTTACAAAAAAAATCCGCAGACTACCTGCTGGATCTCCTCTCCGTTTCAAAGAACAAATTTTACCTCAGGTCTTCGCTCATTTACCAGCTTCACATTCCCTATTTCCGTACAAAAACTGGAGGGAGGGCCTTTGCTATTGATGCCCCCAGGGTCTGGAATGCTTTTGCCAATAAACTGCAACTTGAATCGCTACCAATGAGACCTTCTCTCAAAACTGCTCTAGAGGAGTTGTACACCCCTAGCTGCCACTGCTATTCATTGGCGTAAAATAAAATAAAATGTTTCGCTCCGCATGACGCTGCAAAGTATTATCTGTATTTTGATTTAGCGTGCTGATCTTAAAGGTGCATTGAAAAATTTGATACTCTGACTGATGCTTCTATTGTTGTGGAGTAACTCATGCAGCCAGCTATGGCTCTAGGATTTGGTGTTACATGTTATTTATGCAGTTTATTGTAAACATTCGGTCACAGTCCCTATGATCACTGTTACGTTGCAATTATGGCTTCATTTTTTGGTAATTTTGAAAAGTTTTTTGGTTTGGACATGTTTGTTTTGTTGTAGTACGCAGTTAGACTGATGGCCTTAATCTAAGTTTTCTTGTGGTTGTTGTTGTTGTTTGACTTGCATCCCACTGGGATTTTTTGTACACAGCGTTGGTGTACGGTGCTTTTATCAGGAATATTTTGCTGTTTTTTTCATGGATTTTCTGTTTGCACAGTCACATAGTCACTTTCAGATGTTTCCTTGTTCGTGTTTTTTTTGTTTGTTGTGGTTGCACCCGATTCAAGAGCCGAATGGCTCACAGGGCTATACCAAAATAAATAAACTGAAACCTGGTAAGATCGTACAAAATTGTTTAGTTTTACAGTATTTGTATGTTTATGTGATTTGTTTATTTTTCCTATACTTTTCACTCCTATCGTGTGTTTTTTATTGTTTGTTGTTGAACGTTCTGACCCGCCCCTACTGGACATTCGTGAAAAAGAGCTTTATAGCTTATCGGATTCCTCCAATATTGTGATTTATATCTGAGCAATGCAATGCGAAATGAGTGTGGAGCCATCGCCATCTGGCGGCCACGTGCGTTTATCAACGACCACGTGGCCGCTCGCTCGCGCGCGACATCCGATTGGTCCCGAGCACCCGAGGCAATCGGGCCAATAGCAAGCGACGTTACTTGTTACCAAGACAACCGAACGACGCTTTACATTCCGTAAGTTTGATAAAGGGGGGTTTCGGCGCTCGCGATTGGCCGAGAGCTCGGGCGCCAGACGGAAAGAGGTAGCCCCTTATCCGTTGTAGGGAATGCGAAGCTGCTGTGGACAGCGCAGTGGTAAAGTAAAATCCTTTAAAGCGTCGTAAAATAGACACGGATCGGCTCGGTAAACTGTAAGAAAATAACGCACTCTCCTCATTTATTTGGTATTAAAAGGTAAGTGTTATGATGCTGTGTGTCGCGCCCGACGGTTAACACTGTACTGTACAAATCCCGCCTGTGTCGAGTCGTGCGTATGTACGTGTTAGAGATGACCCAAATGATTCGTTTGCACGTAATATATTTAAAGCGTCATTCTCTCCCGGGAGTTAACATTTTGAGCAGCATTGATTCCGTGCAAGCAAACTCTGGACAGGTTTTCGACACGCAGTGTCTCATCATCAGCCGCGTTTGCTCGAACCAATGCCGGCTTGGTCAACTGCGGGATATCATTGGCACTAAATTACACTACACCTCAAACTAATTAGTCACATAAGCCGTAATAAATCTTTGTATTTTCCATTATAAATGTTTTTTCTTAACATACAAGTGTTACACAAGTGAGAGGAAACCGCATCACCCAGGAAAAAAAACGTGCGAGGGGGCAACGCCCTATTTCTGTACAAATGGAAACAGGTGGCGATTAGACCTCTTCTTCTTTGGTTCTTTCGGTAAAGTCACGTAGAATGAGAATAAAATAATAAATTGATAAAATAAAATAACAATAATATTCTCACGACGTTTCGGCCACAACACAAGCGGCCTTCATCAGGTGAAGGGAGCGAGACTGTCTGGTAGGACAGCGCTGGAGTGAGAGAGCCACGTTCAGATCACGGCTTTTAAGCTGTGTGAGAGGAACAAAGAGCCTTGACGAAGGAATTAGCATAAAATTTAGCATTGAAAAGGCTGAATGATTAGCTTGTGACTGGTCACAGAAATAGCTATGTTAAAAGTTAAAGCATACACATCCGCAGAGGCACCCATTGTTAAAAGGAATTAGCATATAATTTAGCATTGAAATAGCTAAATTAAGGCATTCGCTTGTAACTGCTACAGAAATAGTTACGTTGAAGTCAGAGCATACACATTCACCGATGCACTTAGTACAAATCAAAACAGGAGAATTTAGCATTGAAATAACTAGGCGAATTTAGCATGGAAATAACTGGGTGATTTGCTAGTGACTGGTCACAGAAATGACTACAAATCTGAGCTATTCACAGTACTATATAGTGAACCAATAAAAACTAAAATATAAATTACCTTCATGTTATCAATAAACTCTATATTCTCCAATCAGCTAAGCTACCAACCATAAGTCGTTATATAACACAATGCTATATGGCGAAAAAAGTGGGTGGATTCTTACCCTCAAATTTCCGTACCACGGATAGCTACGGGCCCCGTTCAGACGGACGAGTTCGTCCATGGTCGGAACAGCGGAGGGGGAGAGAGACAGCTGCGAAGCCCTAGTATACTCCATGTTGTAAACCATACCATTAACCGTGGTGTGAGAGGTATTAAGAGGCAATGCTGGCGAAATGGCTGCGGTCTGAAGGTCATCGTAAAATTACAATTAATTAAGAACAGAAATGATTTAACACATCTTTCCAGTGGTTACTGAGCCTGAATCCATCTTCTCGGTTGAAATTGTCTCTGTGCTTGTATATGTGAATGGCCTCATGAACGAATCTCTCATGGTAGCCAGTTGGTTTGCAAAGAACCTCCGTCTTGGAGAAGTCAATGTCATGTGAGCCCACTGAATTGTAACAGTGATCTGCCACGGCAGAGGAGTTCGTCTTACCGTGTTTCAAGTCTGCTTTATGTTCGCGGATGCGATCCGAGATATGTCTTTTGGTTTCTCCAATGTAGCTACTACCACAGAGGCACTTTAGTTTGTAAACGCCCGGGTACTGTATGTCTGGAAGAGCATCTTTTACAGATGGAACTAAATCACGGATTTTGTGTACTGTGTTGAATCGGACCTGGATCTTGTGTTTATTCAGGATTTTGGAGATCTTTTTAGTGACCCCTGCAATGTAGGGTAAGGTGATGGTTTTGAGTGGCTCCACAAGAGGATCCTTCTTCATGACTGGAGTGATGGCTTTGCGGATTGTGTAGTCGGAGTAGCCATTAGCCCTGAGAGCCTGGTGTACGTGTTTGAGTTCACTGGTAATGTGTTCCTGGTCGGAAATGCATTGGGCTCTATGGTATAGAGTCTTGATGAGGCAGTTCTTCTGGGATGGATGGTGGTGGGAATCCGGTTTCAAGTAAGCATCTGTATGGGTAGCTTTCCTGTAGACAGAGTGGCTCATTGAACCATCATGTCTCCTTTTAATTAAGACATCCAGAAAGGGTAGTTTGCCATCTTTTTCGACCTCCATGGTAAATCTGATGGCTGGGTGTATGGAATTGATGTGGTCGCGGAATTGGTCTAGAGCAGGCTGGCCATGTGGCCAGATGACAAAGGTGTCATCAACGTACCTCTTCCATAAGGTCGGGCGTAGAGTGGCAGTCTGGATGGCGTCAGTTTCAAATTTTTCCATGAATACGTTGGCTACAACCGGAGATAAGGGGGAGCCCATTGGGGTGCCCTCAGTTTGTTTGTAGAAAGTTCCATTCCAGGTGAAGTATGTGTTGGTTAAGCAATGTCTCACCAGGGGGGGTACATCAGTATGCAGTCCTTGATGAACCAGGTCTTCAATGATAGCGATGGTGTCAGGTACCGGGACTTTGGTGAACAAGGACACCACATCAAAACTGACAAGCAGGTCGTCTAGGGACAGGGAAATGCCTTTGATTGTCGATACCAGGTGAGTAGAATTTAGTACCGCAGAGGTGGTTTTTCCAGTGAAAGGTCGCAGTATATCAGCCAGAAAACGTGCCAGTTTGTAGGTGGGGGAGCTGATAGTAGAGACGATGGGACGAAGGGGTGTATCTTCTTTGTGTATCTTTGGAAGGCCATATAATCTTGGTGGTCTGGCAGCAGAGGGTTTCAACAAGAACTGTTTGTTCTCATCAATTAATGCTGTTGAATCAGAGATAATTTTGTTCGTTTTGGTGACCAGGCTGTTGGTGGGATCTCTTTTTATTTTTGTATAGCTGCCATCGTTGAGTAGTTCTTGAATTTTGTTGTTATATTCTGTTTTGTCCATGATGACAGTGGCATTGCCTTTGTCGGCTGAGAGAACGACAATATCATCCCTCTTTTTTAATTGAGATAATTCAAAACGTTTGTCTTTGCTGATGTTGCTAGGTGGCAACTTAGCGTTTTTGAGGGTTGCAGCGATTTCAGATCTTGCTACGTCTGCAGAGATGTGACTCAAGCCCTTGAGTGCAACGTCGACATGGGCAATGATATCATTAACCGGTAAGTGTCTCGGTGTGACAGCAAAGTTTAGACCTTTAGCTAAAACGGATTTCAGACCATCAGAAATGGAACTGTTACTGCGATTAATTACGACTTTGTTGACGTCTATCTTTTCGGTGTGTGGATCCGATTTTTTGCTGGAGAGGTGATTGAATTTGGAAATCAAATTGTCCCTACATTTGTTCGACATAGTGGCAGCCGAAGAGGTAGTCATATTGTCTACATGTTCCCAATCCGATGTAGACATTGTTGCTGTCAATTTTAAGTGTGATTTGTAGAGTGTCTTGTCTAACTGATCGAGTTCGGTGCGTGTAAGTCTGATTTTTTCCGAGATAAGAGCGAAGCTAGTTCTAGCTAGAATTCGTTTTGCATTGAGAGAAGTTGCAACAGCAGAGGTTAGTGTAAATGCGGTTGGTATTACCTTAGAGTCGCGGCATCTCTTCAGAAAGGTGAGAGACTCGATTAGTTGAGCCTTCTTATCCCGAAGTCTGTTGAATGATCTTAAGGATGTGTGGAATCCCTCCCCGTAGAGGCGGTTAAATTTCGATTTAAAGCTTTCGTGACTGCAATGATTCATCTTCTTTGGTTCTTTCGGTAAAGTCACGTAGAATGAGAATAAAATAATAAATTGATAAAATAAAATAACAATAATATTCTCACGACGTTTCGGCCACAACACAAGCGGCCTTCATCAGGTGAAGGGAGCGAGACTGTCTGGTAGGACAGCGCTGGAGTGAGAGAGCCACGTTCAGATCACGGCTTTTAAGCTGTGTGAGAGGAACAAAGAGCCTTGACGAAGGAATTAGCATAAAATTTAGCATTGAAAAGGCTGAATGATTAGCTTGTGACTGGTCACAGAAATAGCTATGTTAAAAGTTAAAGCATACACATCCGCAGAGGCACCCATTGTTAAAAGGAATTAGCATAGAATTTAGCATTGAAATAGCTAAATTAAGGCATTCGCTTGTAACTGCTACAGAAATAGTTACGTTGAAGTCAGAGCATACACATTCACCGATGCACTTAGTACAAATCAAAACAGGAGAATTTAGCATTGAAATAACTAGGCGAATTTAGCATGGAAATAACTGGGTGATTTGCTAGTGACTGGTCACAGAAATGACTACAAATCTGAGCTATTCACAGTACTATATAGTGAACCAATAAAAACTAAAATATAAATTACCTTCATGTTATCAATAAACTCTATATTCTCCAATCAGCTAAGCTACCAACCATAAGTCGTTATATAACACAATGCTATATGGCGAAAAAAGTGGGTGGATTCTTACCCTCAAATTTCCGTACCACGGATAGCTACGGGCCCCGTTCAGACGGACGAGTTCGTCCATGGTCGGAACAGCGGAGGGGGAGAGAGACAGCTGCGAAGCCCTAGTATACTCCATGTTGTAAACCATACCATTAACCGTGGTGTGAGAGGTATTAAGAGGCAATGCTGGCGAAATGGCTGCGGTCTGAAGGTCATCGTAAAATTACAATTAATTAAGAACAGAAATGATTTAACACATCTTTCCAGTGGTTACTGAGCCTGAATCCATCTTCTCGGTTGAAATTGTCTCTGTGCTTGTATATGTGAATGGCCTCATGAACGAATCTCTCATGGTAGCCAGTTGGTTTGCAAAGAACCTCCGTCTTGGAGAAGTCAATGTCATGTGAGCCCACTGAATTGTAACAGTGATCTGCCACGGCAGAGGAGTTCGTCTTACCGTGTTTCAAGTCTGCTTTATGTTCGCGGATGCGATCCGAGATATGTCTTTTGGTTTCTCCAATGTAGCTACTACCACAG